AGAGCGCGGGGAGGCGGGAAATTTAAACCGGGCGCCACTGGGGCTCCTTCCCCTCAGGCGGTTCCCAGCGGGATTCTCTGCGGGATCCCGGCATCTCGGTTCTCCCGCCTCTGTCTCCCCTCTCCCTGCAGGGTCACCAACGGTGGCAAAACCACCCTGACCAACAGGCTCACCAAGGCGCTGCCCAACTGCTGCGTGGTGCACCAGGATGACTTCTTCAAGGTACGCTGAGACCCCGGGTTAAAGCATTAACTGCTGCTTGTACGTGCGGTGGCAGCTGTAGTGGGTCCCCACACACAGCTTTTATATACTTGTGCATGTTTTCCAAGTAAGTTTTGACGGCTTGGGAGCAGCAACCTTCTGATGTTAGGGTTTTTTTTCTCCTTTATATAATTTTTAGATGATTTTGGACAGGGAACGAGATGCTGACACTTACAAATGTCAGTGTCTGCGCCCCTAGAATGGCTGCAGCAAAAGCTTCCTTTAGTTCTAATAACAGATCTAACTGGGTTGGACTGATTTCTGCTAGAGGTCGTTTACTGTGCTCGGCACAAACAGTTTTCTCCATGTTGGGTTTTCCTCCTTATTTAAATATGTTGCTTCTAAATAATCTTTTAGGATTTAAGCACCCCTGCGCTGCTTTAAATACAGGAGGACAGTTGTGTTGGGGAGCTTTACAGCTCCCTGTCAGAAACCCAGTTAAGAGATTGCTAAAGATGAATGCACAAGAGCTGTGCTGAGTTGGGAGAGCAGCAGGGACCACATCACTAATCCCTGCAGGGTTCCCAGGAAGGACAGAGCTGGACCCCACCACATGTGGGAGTCCAAGAGATATGGCCACACACTTGAAGTATCCCTCTGTCATTCCCTGATGTGTGAGGTGCTCTGGCACCAGTGGTTTGTCCTGACTTTGCAGGAGCATGTGCCACGTGAAACAGAGACCCTCATTTGAAAAGCTTCTGTGCCAGAAGCCTCATGCACAGATTTGGTCACATATGAGTCCTGGAAGTCAAGGAATTCTGTTGGAGTCTCCATAAAGATCTACAGTTTTTTCCCTAGTGTGCTTAGCTGGCAAATGCCAGTAAAACTATGGTAGCTAGGCTAGTAAGTAGCTAGTAAAGCTGTAACTACTGACCACGTGTCTTGTTATGCTGACCTGTGTTTCCATTAGGAGTTGAAATAGCTGTTCTTGAACATGTAAATTTTAGGATTTACATATTGCTGTATTTGCATTTTAAGTTCTTTTATGTGTTGACTTATAAACAGGCACCTGTAGTGTTTTGGCTAATAACACCGTATCAAATGATTAACCTAGAACTTTATCCAAAGTGGCTTGACCAAGCCAAGGAAACTCCTCACAGTTCCTGGGGTTGGTGAAAATGGGAAGTTAGATTTGAATGTAGCCCAAGCAGGGTCTGTAACTGTTGTTAAGTGAACACTTGCTTTGTTGTGTATTGCAGTAGTGTCCAGGTTGTGATCGGATCTTAGGTAACTGATCACGCTGAGTTTGCAGCAATGTTTTATTGCTCACTATATTTCAGCCACAAGATCAAATAGAAGTCGGGGAAGACGGCTTTAAACAATGGGATGGTAAGAGCAGTGTTCGCTATAGGATGCAGTAATGTATATTTTTCCTAAGTATTTCTTTTTAATTATTAAAGATTTAACAGTAAATTTATGTAACTTCAATTTAACAAGTTCGTTCTATTTTATACTTTCAAGCCTATGTGCTCCATGGTATTTGATTATGTACCTTTTTCCCACCCACCCCCTTTCTTCTAACTAGTGTTGGACTCCTTGGATATGGAGGCAATGGTGAGCACTGTGCGTGCCTGGATTGAGAACCCAGTGAAGTTTGCCCGTTCCCATGGGGTGAATGTTACGCCTGGCTCTAAAGAGCCAGCTTCCAAAGATACCCATATATTGGTCATTGAAGGCTTCCTGCTTTATAATTACAAGTAAGGTTTGGGGAACTATTAACAGTTTGCCAGGGAAGAACACTAGATCCCTGCTGCTGGGGCTAAAACCTCCTTTTTACTAATATACCCCTCCTGTCTTGTCCTGAGGTATCATGCACAAGAATTTTTCTCATTTCAAATGGAAAATTCCCCACTAAATGCTGGGAAAAGCGAGGTGCATGAGGTGACTTTCTCAAGGTAACACAGGAAGCTCATTTGGGCATGCCCTTGAATGCCAGGTCATGAGGAGTTGTAGATCAGTACTGAGCGGTGGCATGGACTTCCCTCCTGGCCTCCCTCCACGAGGCCTAAACCTTGACCTGCAAAGGCCATTGGTGAGAACAACTTGATAATCCACTCTGCGTTCACCACATAGAATCTCCCCTGCAATTTAGGAATAGTTCCTTCATGTGATAAACGTTGATGCTAAACTGAGCTTAGTTAGAATTAATTGTAAATTGGAGCACAGATCAACTTTTTTGCTTTTTTACATGGGGGGAAAAATGCTTGGCAGGAAGAGAGGAGACTCCAATGAAGAGAGAAAACTCCCAACAGCTAAATATACACCCTGCAGAAATCACGTGCTATGAATGTGACCAGCAAAAGATTCTTGGCTCCAAATTCCAGTTTTGTTTACAAAACTCTTTCAAGAGAACAAGCTGTGACACTGAGAAAACCAGACTTGAGTCATGCCATCAGACAGGCAGCGCCATCCCAGCTTTCCAAACTGAATGTAAAATGGCAATCTTGGACCAGCTGTACCAAGCATGGCCAAGTGAGGAATGTGCTGGCACACTGCTGGGTGTTCATCCTCAGTGAGGTGACTCTTAGTGTCTCCTGAAGGTTACAAATACCTCTGAAGCTCTGTCTTGTTAATGGGAGCTTTTCCATAGCCCAGGGGACTGTTCCATCCTGGACCTATAGCTTGCTCAGTTCATGCTATATTAAGCATTTTTGCAACCCTCCCAGGCTTTTAGAAGTCTGAGTCCCACCAGGTTCAAGGTAGATTTGCTTCAGGGATTTTTCTAGGTTTATTTTCTTCAGCCTCGTAGCAGCTCAACACAGAAAGCTGCAGTAGAGCCTGTTCTGGAAAAGAACAGGAGCTGATGAGCTGCCTTTGCCAAACCTGTGTGCCCACAAATGCTGCAGCACAACAGGCCAGGTGGTTTGATAAGTCAGTGCAGTGCCCATGCCAAGGCAAATGATAAAGAAGCAGCACAGTTTACACTCCAGGGCTTCCCAGTCCCGTGTCTGACCCCCCACAGCAGGAGGTGTTTGGGTGGGAAGACTATGTAATGCACCATTCTGACCTCCAAACCCTGTGTTCTGTGTTTTATGGTGAATAAACCTATTGTACTTTAGCTTGTGTCTTAATGAGGACACACTTCTGTTGTCTCCAACACACACAAATATGGGAAAGGAAGGGGTGATTCAGGGCTTTCAGGGGTGATTTAACACTTTGACAGAAAAAAAAAGACACATTCTTTCTTTCTACCCTACCCCAGACCACTGATAGACCTCTTCGACTTGCGCTACTACCTGGCAGTTCCATATGATGAGTGCAAAAGGAGGAGAAGGTAAGAAGACTCTTTGATGTAAGTCTAACCCCTTCTTCCAGTAAAGACTCTACTGGAGGCAAGCCTTCAGGCTCCCTTCATGTTGCTATAAATGGAATATCTTGGTGTCATGAATCAAAATTGGAGCTGAAACCTGTGCAGAAAGACTTTCATGTGGCTTTTTCTGGAACTTTATATCTGGCAATTCCCTTTGTGTGGCTTTTCTGAAGATCAGCACGTCACTGCAAAGGGAACAGAGGCATACAACCCCAGACTAGTTTGGGCTGGAAGGGACCTTAAAGCTCATCCAGTTCCAACCCCCTGCCATGGGCAGGGACACCTTCCACTAGAGCAGGTTGCTCCAAGCCCCTGTGTCCAACCTGGCCTTGAACACTGGCAGGGGGGGGGCAGCCCCAGGATCTCCGGGGACACCC